AGTTACTTGGAAGGCTGAGGCGGAAGGATGGCTGGAGCCCAGCAGGTCGAGGTTGTGGTGGCCAGGAGCGGCCACTGCACTCCAGTCTGGGTGACAGAGTGAGACTCCAACTCAAAAAAAAATAAATAAAAATAAAAAAATACCTGTACCCATATGTTCATTGCAGCACTATTCACAAAAGCAAAATCGGGGGATATCCTCTTACATGCTGACTTTTCCTGGATTCTAGGCTGATGCTGATGCCCAGTGTGTCTGGAATAGATCCCCCAGCTCTTCCTGGTAAAGAGGCCCCATCCAGGAGAGAACCCACCACTCCTCAAGGGTGATAAGAGAGCAGGGAGGGGAGACAGATGCATTTTCTTTCTCCAGGTCTCTCCCAGAAAAACTCTTCTATGAGTTAAATGCATAGGGCAGGGTGGGCACAATGGCTCACACCTGTAATCCCAGGAATTTGAGAGGCTGAGGCAGGAGGAGTACTTGAGCTCAGGAATTTAAGACCAGCCGGGGCAACATAGCGAGACCTCGTCTCTACAAAAAAATTTAAAACATAACTGAACATCCTGGATCTACAAGGAGCTCAAACGTGCTGAAAAGAAAAAAACAAACAACCCCATTATAAAATGGGCAAAAGATATGAACAGACACTTCACAAAAGAAGACATCCGAGCAGCCAACAAACACATGAAGAAATGCTCAACCTCACTAACCATCAGGGAGCTGCAAATCAAAACCACACTGAGATACCACCTAACTCCAGTCAGAATGACAATTATCAACAACTCAAAAAATAACAGCTGCTGGAGAGGGTGTGGTGAAAAGGGAACACTTCTACACTGTTGGTGGGAGTGTAAACTAGTGCACCTCTGTGGAAAGCAGTGTGGCGATTCCTAAAAGCTCTAAAAATCAGCCTTCCATATGACCCTGCAATCCCCCTACTGGGAATATACCCTGAAGAACTCAAATCACTCTATAAAAAAGATACCTGCACACGTATGTTTATCGCAGCGTTGTTCACAATAGCAAGAACCTGGAAACAACCATGCTGCCCATCAAAAGAGGACTGGCTTAAAAAAAATGTGGTACATATACACGATGGAATACTACGCAATCATAGAAAAGAACACAATCATGAATTTCGCAGCAACCTGGATGGAGCTAGAGTCTATAATACTGAGTGACCTCTCACAGAAACAAAGATCCGAGTATCACATGTACTCACTCATT